ATCAAATTCCATATCACATTTGGAATTATACTGATGCAAAATTGTTATGTAAGAAGAAATTCAAGGCCAGAATTTTGAGTAACTCAAAAAAATTATTCAAATGGAAGAGAAGGAATTACCCAAGTAAGAAAAAGTAAAGTAGAGAGGCCAAACATCAGTTAACATGCAACAAGATAAAAGAGATTGGGTAGCTGAAATACACAATCCCTACACAATTGTACAATAATGATTTCCTTTATATCAACCGTCAATAAGAAAGTAAAAAAAAAAAAAAAACCCACACAGCTGCCAAGCTGTATTTTGACCTTTCAGCAAGAGCAGTTGTTTCTTTAAACAGAAAAAGTCTGCTTGCATAAGAAAATGATACTGCCTAATGGGAGATACTTTTAGTGAAAAAGTGAGATAACATGTGCATCCGAGGCATCCAGAACTATAGACACTTTTAGACATTGATCTTTTATCACTGAAACCCTGTGTGATCATTCAGTCTCCAAGCAGTCTGTTCTTGCCAGTTTGAGTTTGAAAAATGAAACAAGAGGTTGCATGGTTGTATTTGACCAAACTTGTACTGAAGCTTGGTAGATCTGCACAGACTTCAGCAATTCCTAATTAGAAAAAAGGAAGAATCTCATTTCCCACGACACGGCAAGCACTTGGATTTCTCTTATTTTCTTTGGGATCAGCCGTGCCAAACTGCACCAGAGCACCTAACAAAACCATTGCAATAGGTAATTACTACACAGAGTTAATATGCATATTAGTATATAGTAGTAGTAATATACATACACCCCCAGCTATCTTCATTTTGAGCACTGCTGGCCTGTTGCCGCTCCTTAATGCAAAGAAGGCTGTATTTATTTCTGGTAACTCTTACAGAGCTTTCTATTGCCATATTCTGTCATTAGTTGTCCTCAGCCAGAAAACATTATGTACTGTGCACTTAACTCCAGTCAAAGTTATTATGTACTGTATTAAATATAGACACAAAACCATCAGGATTCTGTATTTTTCAAAAATCAAGCTGGAATGAAATTAAAGACTTACTTTGAAGATCTCTGAGTTTCTAATCTCTGCGAGATCTCCAAGCTCTAGTTTTTATCTAATCCAGCAGCACCACTCCTGACCACTACAAATACACAACATCAAAGGAACGGCAGCAAAGATGTCCTACTGAATACTATCCTCTGATTTTTCCCCTTGATGAATAGCAAAATCTACTTTAATGCACTGATTTTCATTAACAGGCTTTACAAATATCACCAGGATTTACAAAAGCATCACAGTGATCATCACTAAAGCTTATACAGATGTATTCCTGTGTACATGAAGCAAGCAGCTGTTTGTTGAATTTAGGATAATAAAATCTTCCCTGACATACAGACTGTGAACAACACCATATTGGCATGCCGAATATGTAGCAAGAGTTCTTGTTAAGTTTCATAGTTCCAAGGCTTATTAGGCCATTTCTCTGCATTTCTCTGAACAATGTTTGAGCCACAGATGTTGGAAAGAAAACATATGGCAAATATACAGGAGAGTACAAAAATCCCCTGCTTCCAGTGCAGTCTTCATGTATGTCCACTAAAAGCGTATTCAAACAGTGAGCAGAGTAAGTATCAAGAGAGCTTATTAAAGAATAATTCTAAATGTTTCCAGTATAATAGATGTTAATGCTACATATATCATCCTCACTTTGGTTCACCCAGTTCTACAAGGACATTCAAGTCCTTATCAGTTTTCTTATTAAAAAGTAAACTTTTCATAAACTGGATATCCTTCACTATTAAACAGCAGAAAATTTTCTGCTAAGCTGGTTGCACAGAGAGGGAGATGGTTTGAAGGCTATGAGTAAGGTCAAGGCCCATTATGATTTATACCTAAGAAGGTCTGACTTTGTGCTGCAGCTGACTTTGTCCTAAACAGGCTGCTTCTGCATTTATTCTTATCCCACATGCTTTGGGGGTAAGAATTTACAGAGACTAATTTATATGTTTGATTGTGAAAATCAGACTTCATTATCAGCCTTTTTCCAGTTGGGTTTGTATTGAAACATGGATGATGCCTGGTCTTACCAGAACGAGATTTCACCTCCACTTACTGTTTTTTCTTTCTGAACTTGGCCTCTGTTTCTTAACTAATTAGATATATAATGGCTACACTCTTTAAAAGTGTTCTCAATCACTTCATTCAAAGTTTTTCAAGATTTAAAGTCTAGGCTTTCAGTATAAGTTGTTTATTTGTTTTTTCTAATATCAAAAAATTAAAGGTATGGGTGTGACAGGTTTCGAGTCTATTTTATAAACAGAGGAAACCACACAGCATTTTACTGATTGTTCAAGGATAGAAATAGAATACAGATCTGATATAGATCTGTAGGCTGTTTTTTTAAGACTAGTATTGAACAAAGCAGGATTATTTAGTGCTAACCACAACATTCAACTTAGGTACCAAACTATGGTTTGGGAGGAAGGGAATTTGCTGAACATAATAGTGAATTATTTCAGAAAAGCTTGCAGAGATAAATTCAGGGAGGAAGAAAGCTGGATTTTGTTAAGTTTTATTTATATATGTAATTATAAAGATTTTACTGTGTAATTATATTTTCTGTGTAACTTGGAACTCTACTTGTACTTTTAACCAAAAGAATTTTGGACTACTGTAATTTATGTGAGAAAACATAACCATGTCTAAAGCAATAAAGTTCTCACCACAGAGCCCAGTTTTGATCTTTATGTTTAGCTCCTCCTGACACATTTTAACGTCACCTAACAGATGCCTAACAAATACTTAGTCCCTGTCAGCTAGTTTATTCTTTTCTTTTTCAAGGCATATATTTTTCATTCCTTGGCTGCACTTTATAAAATATTTTTAGTTCGTCATGATTCTTCTGAATGTCTTGCAAATGATAAAATAGAGCTAAACAATGAGTCCTATTCATTCACACTGCTGCTCCGAGAAGAGACTAGAGGTTAAGAATTTTCCATGATAACTAAAATGACTTAAAGGTCTTCTGACAATAACATGATGGATTTTGATTTTAGCCATTCAAGAATAAATCCATTACTTTAAGCAAAGTTACTCCAAAGATATTTACCCATTCTTCAACCTCTTACACTGGGTGAGAAGGACTTTGTGCTACAAAGGAGCCATAACAACCCTGACTCCAGAAAGAGTGGCTTAGATGCTGGGGGAAAATATCCATAGGCTGTACTCCAATGCACATCTGGCATACACCAGAGTGGCAGATTTGCTAGAGAGGGGTCAAGAGACAAGTAAGGTTTGTTGGGGGTGAAGGCATATAGGTGCAGGCAAATATATCTATTTTTGGCAAATCTTAGTTGTTCATCCAAATGCTCACAGTAATCTTGATTACCTTCAAAGTTCTTGAAGGCAGTTGCAGCACTAAATTTATGGAACATCATATGTTTATTCATATAGCTAATCATTTGCCGGACCAGGCTGTTCTGACAACATAGGATAATTATTCTTTACAGTAATATTTGTGGTCCTTCCTTTCATCTGACAGTTGGGTGTGTTTATGCCGAGTAACATTTTTTTTTGCAGTGTACCAAATTTCTGCATTTAAGACTGTGGGCAACTTCTAAAAAACTTTTCAATAACATTACAGTGTCAAGGGTAATCCCTGATTGATTGGCATGTCAGTCATGACATTATCCAAAACCTCGTTAGCTGGAATTGCATTTGCTTGAATTATTAGTGCAAAAGAGAAAATAAGTGGAATTGAAAAATAACTATTTTTGCAGGGAAGGAAATATGGACACAACACATCTGCTTCAGAATGGGCATTCTGAATGGGCTTTATATTCATTTTGGCATGGTAAACGTAATTATATAGTTACATTTTGAAATCTTTATGAGAATCTTAATTATTAATATCATCAACAGGCTAAAAAAATGTAGGTTAGGTATGAGGAGAGTTTGACTCTGCAAAGACATTACTTAGAAGCAGTCTTTTTTACATGACTGAACACATGTGCACACCGACTAGATACTCACACTTTAAAATGAGGTTACATTTATGAATAGTTTATCAAGAGTTGGTAAACAGTGTAGGCTATTACAGAATCCACAAAGTCCATAGTTTGCTTATAAACATGTATAACACCCTCAAGTAATGTGCAACAAAGTAGAATTTATGAAAGTCATATCTGTAGTATTGTTTATGATGTGTATTAATCATTTATTAATCCTTTATGAACTATTTATAAGCACAATCTTAATGGAAAGTATGGCTGACTAGTTACTCCCTTGCATTAGATAGAAAGTACCAGCTTCATGGGATTTAAAGGTTTCTTGCCTCTTTGCCCTTTATTTAACGAGCTGAGCAGTCTTTAGACAAGGCAACACAGGAGCTGTTTTCTTACAAACAACTACGAAATTAGAAGATTGAGACGAGTATTACTGAACCTTCAGAAGAGGAGACTATAGTTTCAAGCAGTAAGGCTAAACCCTTTTTCTGCATCTCCTCCAGTATTTCAGTAGAGCTACCACAGTTTTGCTTCTCAGACTCCATGAGCTTCACCCCTTGCAAAAGAGCCACGCATATTAAAGTCTATGAAGTCCCAGCTCCCAGGGATTCCTGTATAGTTTGGTGGCTCAGACCACCAAAATAAGAGCCATACCTGTAGGAACTGAGCAGAGGAAGGTTGGGGTGGAGATATGCACATCTATCAGCCCTCATGATTTCCGCAGGAACATGGGAAATGTAACAGAAATGACTAATACTGCCCAGGCTACTATAATATCTGGGAGCAGATCCTTGCTTGCAGGATAACTCTCCTTCTGCTCCAAAGCAATTCTGCCTGTCAAGGTACAGCTACTTGAGCTTGCTGCAGGTAAGCTCCACTAATCTTCATGAGACAGTGCAGTTTTTTATTTGCTGCTCTTTGCTTCTTTATGCATGCTGAGAAATCTCTAGCTGAGGTAACTGGAAATAGAGTGTCATCCCAGCATGTTATTTCTTCACTGTTCTTTTGCAGGAAACAGATCTCATTCTGACCTTTAACATCTCAATGCATCGTTCTTGGTGGATGGAGAATGGACCAGGCTGCACCGTGACCTCAGTAACCCCAGCCCCAGACTGGGCACCAGAGGATCATCGTTATATCACTGTCTCGGGGTGTTTTCTTGAATACCAGTACATAGAAGTGGCTCAGAGTTCTCTTCAGATCTTCCTTGCAGTAAGTTTTTATAAACAGCCTCACTCCCAGCACTTTTTCTAGACTTCTTGCAGTTCTTCTTGCAGTTCATTATTACCAGAACAGTGGAGTATTGTGGCACTGATTTAGAAACCCTAGCACTGAGCTTTAGAAGTCCTGCAGTGAAATTCTCTTGGCTTGCAGCTAACTCAAGCAACCTTGAGGTTGAGGTTTTCACGTACCTTTTACAAGAAAAGCTTTGATGTACACATTTAACACTATAAGAACTGTTGTCATTACCCACTCTCTCCTGTTGTCCTCTATTTTAACCATTGACCATCTCACAAAATCCTTACATCAGGTTATATTCACAGAATCACAGAATGGTTGAGGTTGGAAGGGACCTCTGGAGATCATCTAGTCCAACCTCCCTGCTCAAGCAGGGACCTCTAGAGCATATTGCCCAGGATCACATCCAGACAGGTTTTGAATATCTCCAGGGAAGGAGACTCCACTACCTCTCTGGGCAACCTGTTCCAATTACTCCAGTTATTCCAATTATTCAAATTATTCTACAAGAGTTAAGTTATGACATAATCAGTTACAGCTATTGCTGTGAAAGCCAAAATGAATATGAGAAAAAGCCAAAATGAAAGAAAATTTTTCACAGTAAAAATAGATTCATTGATTTTACAGGTCTCATATCTGGCTAATCAAATTACGTTGTTTTCTTAAATCAGCCAAACTGACCATTTGTCTGTAACCACATTATTCAACATGCCCTTCAGGAGAATGGGAAAGATTCTTCTCAAAAGAAGAAAATGTACTTGTATGAAAGTCAAAAGCAGAAATCTTAGTCTTTTTATGAGGGTAAGAATCCACAGTTACACTGCAGAAAATTTACGAGCAGTGAAAAATAACTTGTAATGGTTGGGGAATTTGATAGGTTTTACAACATATTTACCTCTACTAATCATTTTTCCTTCTGATGACTCTGACTCAGGTGAAAATATGACATAAACATTGACTTAATTACATTGAATGGCAAGCTGCATTTTTATGTAGGCCCTAGTGATACACAGATTTTTATGCCCGGGTGGAGATATATATATATACCTGACTGCAAATAAAACTATTACTGTACATAAATTTGGTTCAGTGCCTGGGTACATGACTCCCACTGTATACGTTTTTGTTCAGAGGATTCCAAGGCTTTCTTCAAAGAAGGACCACACTGGCAAAAGAGAGAGTAAATTTGGTCTGCCAGATGCAGAAGTTAATGTAAGGCAGCTGGATAGCCCATAACATAGAACATGGCCCTCAGCCACCCCAGAGGTGAACAGGTTCATCTATCTATTCCCCACTCTTGCTGTAAATGGCCAAGCACCAGGTAAGTTCAGGAATATACATCTCTCTGTCAATACAGCTCTGTGACAGCTCCATATGTAAATGGTTACCAGCTGATTCACCTGAAAGCGCCGCTACCTCCCTTCATTGGAGCCAACCCAGACCTCCTCTGGGCTCACCAGGTGGCCATGTTGTAGCAGAAGGAAATGACAGTGATCCGAGTTGTTAGTGAGGCAGGTACTGGACAGTTCAGTAAGATAAAAACAGTCCATGCTCCAGATAGTTCACAACTGCAATTTTGACAAGCTACAACTGATGGAGAAGAGACAAAATGCAAAGAAATCAGATTAACTAAATAAGTATGATCAAAATAGCTTCACAACTTTATTTACAACCAATTTTTATGACTCAGGCTTAACTTGAAAGGAGATACCCAGGCTTATTTTTCTGTCTTAATTTTTGCGTGTGACGAATGATGAACAGGAAATTCAAGGAATGTATAGTTCAGGCCAGATTCTGTTCTTATTCTGGGAAAACACAAGCATAGTGCAACAAGGATTTTTGTGTGTCTGTGCTAAACAGAGCTGTATTGCTAGATAAGGTCATTCTTCGCAAGCCAGCGGAGTGGTTCAGAATAAAAAGCGATCACCAATCTGGTAGCTGTAGCTAACTAAAGATATTTTTACATTTCTATTCATGTGACTGTAAATGTGTTTATCATAGGTAAAGAGCTATGCATTAAAAGTGTGGGAAATTTTTCCAGACCTGATGCTTAATGTTTACATATGCATCATTTTCACTTTTCTGTTTTTTTCTAATAGAAATGCTAGCATAAAGTCACAATCATAATAAATGTGATGAGAAACACAGGAATTACCTGGTGCTGTTGAGTGACTTATAATACAAAGTTAGAAGAACGGATATTGCTTGGTTTTCAGTAAACTAGATTTGAACAAGCCCAGGCCTTGGATCAGATTTATCTCCAGTTAGTAGAAAGAAATTAATCTTTCCCTTCAATTTTCTTTTATAGGCAGTTAAGTGGATCTTGCCCTTTAACTGTAAAACTATAAATTGCCACCTACAAATTGGTTACTTGCTTTCTATTTGTATTTCTGTATGTTCATGGCAACCATCAAACTAATGTTGATCTTGGCTTTTTCAGAGACTGGTAGCTTGTTTTTAAGGATGTTTCCTACTGCCTACAGATAAAAGTTACAAAGACACTCAGCTTCACAGAGATCCACTTATATTAGTCTTTGAAAATGTTTAACTGAGTGTGTTTTGTACAGCTTGTTAGTAAGCTCACAAGAAATCCATCTACAGAAGGTTAGACTCCACACAGATTTTTGCTATGAAATACTTAGTGGAAAGAATAGGAAAGTGAGATAAAAGCTATAAAAGCTCCATCACTGTATATTTTCTAAAAATAAAGGTTCCAGGTGGGTTGTTGTATATTTCAAGAATTGCAGAAAGATGCTTTACCAAGGAGGTACAGACTACTCAATGTCTCCGAGAGACCTTATCTCCCCACAGGACTGTGTCCTGGAAGAAAACAGTACCAGCTCATGAACCATAAAATGTTGCTAATTTTGTGGAAGTCAACACGGACTTTGGTGCCATTTTGGAGAGTTATCCTTTCTTCTCTTAAACCGAGTAGTAATTAAGACAACTGGAATGTTAAATGATCACAAAGGTCAGGAGAGTCTCCACTGTGCAGAGTGGTGGTGTTCATTGTGTAACATTTACCTTAAAGATTAAAGAGAGCTAGACAGGATGATGCACAGATATTTTGCCAGCTTATGTTGAGGAATGGATTTTGCTCAGAATAAACAGACAACTTGGCGAAATTCCTAATGTATATCAGGTCACATTGAAGAAGTAACAAAAAAGTCTGATTGATATTCTCTATACTTTGACCAGCCGAAAGCTCGTGGTTTAGAAAATCTTCAAAATGGGGAAATGCTCTATGTAAAAAGAGGATTATCCTGATTTGGATATTTAGCACTTGCGTATGCAATGCGGGACTGCAATAATCACAGTGTCAATGGAGGCTGCAACCACTCTTTTGTCCCACGACACAGAGCACACAGAAGGTTGACTGGTATTGATGGGAGACCACAGCCCCTGGAGACTCTATCAGTAAATCAACCCTGGCCTCAGAGATATGCAGAATAACCATTTAGTGCACTCTTATGTTTGTCATGTAGCCATTTCCATTTCAGCACATTACTGCTTCCTCAGCTGATGACTGATTTTGTGTCGTGTTTATGGATGTCTATTTGGAAAAACTTCCAGTGATTTTTCAGTCATTTATTGTGATAGTTTCATGGGGAGTTTTCCATGCTTGGCATGCCTCTCTGAAATGGTACGGTACCAAAATCTCAGTGCCACACGCTGTGTATGTCAGGTTTTTGTGCTCAGTACCTCCCATTTGGTTCTTTTCAGACTGAACTGAGCCTCATTGCTATAATTTTATCTCTATGTTTCTTATCACCTTCTTCTATCAAGTTAAAAAGAAAGAGGGGAAGTTCAGAGTGAAGAAGGGAAAATGTGAGGGAGAGGAATCTACTTCATTCTTAAATGCAGTTTTGCAGCCTGCAGTGCTGCAAAATAAACAAACATATTTTTAGGGCACCACCTGCAGCATGCAGCTGTACTAAACTGAGCAGAACTGCTAAGGTCAGGATTTGTTCTGTTTTGTGTGAAACCCTGAGGTCTGGGAAAAGGTGTAGGGAAGACGTTTCTACTGAATGACTCCCCCTTTTCTTCCCCTCCCCTCCCCAATCCTCCGTGAATAGTACCCCCTCTGCAAAGGCGAAAGCTTAGCTTTGTTGCATCTTGCCAACCACAACACTCTTTTCAATGCTGTGGTGGTAGACGAGGAAAAATGCAGAGCTTTGGCTGCAGCTAATTCACTTGTTTTGCTGCTCAAAGCTAAACCTCACTGCAGTCTGCGCTCATATACTGGGCAAATTCTCCACTTTACTCATACTCTGCCAGGCAAGCCCCATTTACAGAGCTATGACATCTGAGCACCCGGACCATCAATGTGTTGTGGGAGGACCACAATTCTGTCTGTCCCTGATGCCTACATATTCCCAAAATGAACTGTTCTGGTCATGAAGTGACTTAGATGCTCACATGCTCACATGTCCTTATGTGCTTAATGGTTATTGATTCTTGCTGCTTACATCAGAAAAGCTATTTCATTTTCAGAACTCTGGAGTTTCATTTTACTGATCTCTGGAGATGATTGTTCCAGGTAAAGAATGAGGTTACTGGTACTAATGGATATCTGATTTGCTACTGGTTTGTGAAATCTGAGCTACATTCTGCATACTATTTATGGAGTGGATGTTGAATGAAAGTTCCCACCCGTCCCCAAAAGATAGGAGGATTAGCTGCCATTTCACCCTGGTAAAGACAGTGCTCAGGTTGCAGGGAGTGCGGTGAGGACTACACACTCCTGACTTTGGCATCTAACAAGGAATGGGTAGGCTTTGTGTATAAATAGTGTAGGGACTCCAGGGACCCCACATGGCCAGAAAAGGGTCAGAAGCTAACAGTTTCACTGGTGCCTACACCCGGTCAGTGTCTGATTCTAGGTATGGATCCTATACATAACTTTCTTGGTATGTGCATTTACTGAACTCTTGTTGTAGAATGGCAAATGGAAAGTTTTTGCAGTTAAGGGC